CCAGGGTCAACAAAAGAATGACTCCTTCAAAAGAATGCCTTTGAATGCCGCTGGGCCATTGCCTGCCACCAAGCGGGACACCAGCACTCTGTTCTGCCTGTAGCCCAACGCTCTTCACAATTATTTTTTCTGGCAATCTTTACCCTCTGCATCTTGCTCATTTAAAGCTGACAACCTCCAGAGACTGAAAAGAAATTTTTTCAAAAGAAACAAACAAAAAAACCTTGAGGAGTGCCATTGAAAGAACTCTGGAAGGAATGTCCCGGGTCCGTAAAGTAAGAAACCTCTGAGAGCAGGACATAGCTCACTTTGCTGAGAGAGAAGTTCTCAAGGCCCACAGCTTTACTGCGGTAAATTATAGAGCCTGTGATATGGTTTGGATGTTCGTCCCCTCCAAATCCCATGTTGAAATATGATCCCTGGGGTTTGAGGTGAGAGCCTTGTGGGGTGACTGGGTCCTGGGAGCTGATCCCTCCGGAATGTTTAACACCATCCGCTTGGTGATAAGTGAGTTTTCACTCAGTGAGTTGATGAGAGACCTGCTCGTTTAAAAGAGTTTGGGACCTCCACACGTCTCTCTCTTGCTCTCTTGCCATAGGATGTGGCCATTCCTGGTTCACCTTCAACCATGGGGAAACGTTCTCTGAGACCTCACCAGAAGCTGAGCAGATGCTGGTTCCATGCTTGTATAGCCTGTAGAACTGTAAGCCATTTAAACCTTTTTTTCTTTTTTTTTTTCTATTTCTTTTTTATTATGCTTTAAATTCTGGAGTACATGTGCAGATCTTGCAGGGTTGTTGCATAGGTACACACATGCCATGGTGGTTTGCTGCCTCCATCCCCTCGTCACCTACATCAGGCATTTCTCCCAATGTTATCCCTACCCTAGCCCCCCATCCCCCAACAGGCCCCAGTGAGTGTTGTTCCCCTCCTTGTGGCCATGTGTTCTCACTGTTCAACACCCGCCTATGAGTAAGAACATTCGGTGCTTCCTCAGGTTTTTCTCTAAAGCGACACAACAGACTAGCAAGCCTGTCTTCCATCTACTGAAGTGTTCGTCTGCTTGGTAGTTTTAATTTTTTTTTTTTTAATTTTATTTTAAGTTCCAGGACACATGTGCAGAATGTGCAGGTTTGTCACAGATAAACATGTGCCATGGTGATTTGCTGCACCTATCAGCCCATCACCTAGATATTAAGCCCAGTATCCATTAGCTATTCGTCCTGATGTTGTCCCTCTCCCTACCCCCTGCCGACAGCCCACAGGGTGTGTTGTTCCCCTCCCTGTGTCCATGTATTCCCATTGCTCAGCTCCCACTTTTAAATGACAGCATGCAGTATCTGGTTTTCTGTTCCTGCTGTAGTTTGCTGAGGATAATGGCTTCCAGCTCCATCCATGTCCCTGTAAAGGACACGATCTCATCCCTTTTTATGGCTACATAGTATTCCATAGTGTATATGTACCACATTGTCTTTATCCAGTCTATTACAGATGGGCATTTAGGTTGATTCCATATCTTTGCTATTGTGAATAGTGCTACAATGAACATATGCATGCATGTATCTTTATAATACAGAATGAATTATATCCCTTTGGGTATATACCCAGTAATGAGATTGCTAGGTCAAATGGTATTTCTGGTTCTAGGTCTTTGGAGAATCACCACATTGTCATTCACAATGATTGAACTAATTTGCATTCCCACTAACAGTATAAAAGTGATTCTATTTCTCCACAGCCTCACCAGCGTCTATCTGGTGTTTCTTGACTTTAATAATTGCCATTCTGACTGGCATGAGATGGTATCTCATCGTGGTTTTAATTTGCATTTCTCTAATGATCAGTGATGTTGAGCTTTTTGTTTTATGTTTCTTGGCCACATGAATGTCTTCTTTTGAGAAGTGTCTGTTCATGTCCTTTGCCCAATTTTTAATGAGGTTATTTTTTTCTTGCACATTTGTTTGAGGTCCTTGTAGATTCTGGATGCTAGGCCTTTGTCAGATGGATAGATTGCAAAACTTCTTTTTTCCCATTCTGTAGGTCATCTGTTCACTCTGTTGATAGTTTCTTTTGCTGTGCAGAAGCTCTTTAGTTTAATTAGATCCCATTTGTTAATTTTGTCTTTTACTGCAGTTGCTTTTGACGTGCTAATTGTAAAATCTTTGCCCATGCCTGTGTCCTCAATGGTATTGCATAGATTTTCTTCTAGGGTTTTTACAGTTTTGGGTTTTACATTGAAGTCTTTAATCTATCTTGAGTTAATTTTTGTATAAGGTGTAAGGAAGGGATCCAGTTTCAATTTCTGCATATGGCTAGCCAGTTCTCCCAGCACCATTTATTAAATAGGGAATCCTTTCCCCCTTGCCTGTTTTTTCCCGTTTGTCAAATATCAGATAGTTACAGATGTGCAGGGTTATTTCTGAGGCCTCTGTTGTCTTCCATTGATCTATATATCTGTTTTGATACCAGTACCATGTTGTTTTGGTTACTGTAGCCTTGCAATATAGTTTGAAGATGGTAGTGTGCTGTGTCCAGCTTTGTTCTTTTTACTTAGGATTATCTTGGCTAAATGAGCTCTATTTTGTTCCATATGAATTTTAAAGTAGCTTTTTTTTTTTTTCTAGTTCTGTGAAGAATATCAATGGAAGTTAATGGGAATAGTATTGAATCTATAAATTACTTTGGGCAGTATGGCCATTTTCACAATATTGATTCTTCCTATCCATGAGTATGGAATTTTTTTCTGTTTGTTTGTGTCCTTTCTGATTTCCTTGAGCAGTGGTTTGTAGTTCTCTTTGAAGACATCCTTCAGTTCCCTTGTTAGCTATATTCCTAGGTATCTTATTCTCTTTGTAGCAATTGTGAATGGGAGTTCATTCATGATTTGGCTCTCTGCTTGTCTACTGTTGGTATATAGGAATGCCTGTGATTTTTACACATTGATTTTGTATCCTGAGACTTTGCTGAAGCTGCTCATCAGCTTAAGAAACTTCTGGGTGACTGGGGGCAGTGGCTCCTGCCTATAATCCCAGCACTTTGGGAGGCCAAGGCGGATAATGACCTGAAGTCGAGAGTTCGAGACCAGCCTGACCAACGTGGAGAAGCCCCATCTCTAATAAAAGTACAAAAGTAGCCAGGCATGGTGACACACGCCTGTAATTCCAGCTACTGGGGAGGCTGAGGCAGGAGCATTTCGTGAATCCAGGAGGTAGAGGTTGCGGTGAGCCAGGATCGTGCCATTGCACTATAGCCTGGGCAACAGGAGCGAAGCTCCATCTCAAAAAAAAAAAAAGAAAGAAACTTTTGGGCTGAGAACATGGGGTTTTCTAGGTATAGGATCATGTCATCCACAGAGACAGTTTGACTTCCTCTCTTCTTTTTTGAATACCTTATTATTTTTTTGAGACAAAGTCTCGCTCTGTTGCGCAGGCTGGAGTACAGTGGCACAATCTCGGCTCACTGCAACCTCCACTTCCCGAGTTCAAGAGATCCTCCTGCCTCAGCCTCCCGAGTAGGCTTGTTCTGAATATAAGTGGCCTCCCAGGCCCCTGCCACCATGCCCAGCTAATTTTTGTATTTTTAGTAGAGACAGGGTTTCACCATGTTGGTCAGCCTGATCTTGAACTCCTGACTTCACATGATGCACCCACCACAACCTCCCAAAGTGCTGGGATTACAGGCAGGAGCCACCACGCCTAGACCTTGAATATCCTTTATTTATTTCTCTTGCCTGATTGCCCTGGACCGAACTTCCAATACTATGTTGAATAGGAGTTGTGAGAGAGGGCATCCTTGTCTTGTGCTGGTTTTCAAGGGAAATGCTTCCAGGTTTTGCTCATTCAGTATAATATTGCCTGTGGGTTTGTCATAAATAGCTCTTATTATTTTGAGGTATGTTCCATCAATATCTATTTTATTGGGAGTTTTTAACATGAAGGATGTTGAATTTTATCAAAGGCCTTTTCTGCATCTATTGAGATAATCATGTGGTTTTTGTCTTTAGTTCTGTTTATGTGATGAATTATGTTTATTGATTTGCATGTGTGGAATCAGCCTTGCATCCTGGGGATGAAGCCGACTTGATTGTGGTGGATAAGCTGTTTGATGTGATGCTGGATTCAGTTTGCCAGTACTTTTTTTAAAATAAGATGAAGTCTTGGTCTGTCACCCAGGCTGGAGTACAGTGGTGCGATTTGGGCTCACTGCAACCTCTGCCTCCTAGGTTCAAGCAATTCTCATGCCTCAGCCTCCCAAGTAGCTGGGGTTACAGGTGAGCACCACCACACCCAGCTAATTTTTGTATTTTTAGTAGAGACAGGGTTTTACCATGTTGGCCTGGCTGGTCTTGAACTCCTGACCTCAAGTGATCCACCTGCCTTGGCCTCCCAAAGTGTTGAGATTACAGACGTGAGCCATTGCACTCAGCCTGCTTTGCTAGTATTTTATTGAGGATTCTTGCATTGATGTTCATCAGGGATCTTGGCCTAAAGTTTTGTTTTTTATTGTATCTCTGCCAGGTTTTGAAATCAGGATGATGCTGACCTCATAAAGTGAGTTATGGAGGAGTCCCTCTTTTTTAATAGAAAAAAAAAATTCATGTGATAAAAAATTTAAAAGCTACAGAAAGGTAACCAGTGAAAAGTCTCCTTCCAGTAGCTTCTGCTGGTGGACCAGCCTTATTCTCAGAGGCAGCCATCAAACATTTCTTGTGAATCTCTACAGAAATATTTTATCCATAAACAGTTAGATATATATATACATTCTCCCCATATTCTATCCCACCCCTCCTTTTTGTTACACCAATGGCAAACCACTATATACAATAATCTTTTTTCACTTAATAGTGTGGACTTCATACCATATCAATACACACAATTTCTCATTCATTTTAAAGCTGTATCCATCACATGGATGGACCAAAAGATATTTAGGAGTTCCTTACTGAAATGAACATGTATCTTATTCACAGTCTTAGGCTACTCTTATTTTTATCTTCTTACCTGAAACTCTCTGAGCAAATCTGATTGCTTCTTCAAGTGGGTCTGAGTTCACAACTTTATCTAGAATGCCCAGCTTGAGTGCTTCACCTGCTGAAATATGTCTTCCTGAAATAAACAAAACAAAGAATGAAGCAAGATGAAAGCAAAAGCATTACTCTCTCTAGTAGGAAAGGCTGTCTGTCCTAGATAGAAATATCTATTATTGAATAAAATAGGTAAGAGCCACATTGACTGATAGAGTGAAGATCAGCACTGAGGTAACCAGGAAACTTGGATTCAAACTCCAGCTTAGCTTCACTATTTGTATGACCATGAAGAACTGCACCAGGAACACAATTTCCTCATTAGCAAATGGCAATAATTATGCTTATCACAGTAATTCTGAGTATTAAGTAAGAATAACATATTCTCCTTATATTTTATAAATCTCTATAGAAGCACTTTATAAACTATAAATATAGAAATGTGAGGTGTTTCATTTTTGATAATGATAATGGAAGTAGTCACAGCAGGATAATATAGTATCTACCTTATCCCTAGCACACACCATGGCCTGTGGTTGGTTAAAAGAAAAAAAAAGAGAGTCAGGCACAGGGGCTCATGCCTGTAATCCCAGCACTTTGAGAGGCCGAGGTGGGCGGGTCACTCGAGGTCAGCAGTTTAAGGTGAAACCCTGTCTCTACTGAAAATACAAAAATTAGCCAGGCTTGGTGGTGCATGCCTGTAGTCCCAGCTACTCGGGAGGTGGAGGCAGGAGAATCACTTAAACCTGGGAGGCGGAGGTTGCAGTGAGCAAGGATCACGCCACTGCACTCCAGTCTGGGCAACAAAGCTACTAGACTCCATCTCAAAACAAACAAACAAACAAAAATGAAAAACCGATAGTCCCTGAACATAAATATGGTTAGGTCAATAAGAAGAAACAAATCTGACATTCTATAAGGTATAATTAAAATTATGCAGGACAAATGGGATGGACTTCTGCCATTTTTTGGCTACTCAGCATCTCAACCCCTCGCTTAGTTCATGGAATTGCTGTTGGGTAAGCTTTGGAGCCCTGCCTCCTCCTACAGAAGCTGAGAGGGACACAGATGATTAGACAATTGACAATGTGACTGTGGCAGCATGAGTGTGGCCCATGCCCCCAGTTGTGACCTGAGTGCTATCTTGAGGGTTTTTAGCTTGGAGTCAGTGACACTAAGCAGCAGCAACAGGTTAAATCTCATTTCACGGTGCCAGCATCTAGCATCTGGCGGTAGAGGTGCTGGTAGACTTAGTGTCCAATCAGGCCATTAGCATCCTCCAGTACAGAATGCCTGCTCTAGAGGGGATACAGAAGTCTGATAAGCGTTTGCACCATTCCTAATTTGCCTGGATAGTTCTTTACCAGTTGTAAATATGCAATTTGATCTGCATATTCTGAGGTAAGAGGTGGGGACATCAGCATCCCTTACCCCAGGGTCAGAAGGAAGGAGACGGTGACACATCGCTTGCTTTCTTGCCAGTACCATCTTGCCTTCTGAAAAGCGATCATCAAATCTGCCTTGGTGGCAACAGTTCCACAGTCTTCACTGCACCTACAGTATTGGTGGATGCCGTCGGAGACAAACCCTCCATTCTTGGTTCTTATTAGTGCTTCAGAGAACTACAAATGACTTTTCTTGATTGGATAGAAAGTTCAGTGATTTTTTTGGTAGGTGTCTCTTTGAAAAGCAGTATTTGGGCAGTTTTCTGGAAGTATCTCTGAAAACAGGCTTTCAGGTCTCCTGGGTAAGGAGTAGGGTGGGAATTACATAAGTGATTTTCGGGCTCAGGTATCTGTGTATAAAATCACTTTGGTAAGGAGTGAGTGAATCAGCCTACCCAGGTTAAGGGAACCAGGCAAACACAAAATGGGACAGGGAAACCTGGGTCCTATGATAAAAGGATTTTGAGGTCAACTAAGCAGGGGGAATGTGAGCTACTCCCAGATGAGCTGAAAATTTCTTTAGCTGTAATGATTTCTTCTGGCTTGGATTTCACAAAATTGCAAGAGTACCACTACTATTCTAACAGAGTCAATGGGATTCCAAGTGCAGTCATAATATCATATAATAACATTTCTATCAACAACACATATATGATGGTGGCCCCATACAATTACAATACCGTATTTTTACTGTACCTTTTCTATGTTTAGATACACAAATACTTCCATTGTGTTACAGTTCCCTACAGTATTCAGTACAGTAACATGCTGTACAGGTTTGTAGCCTACGAGCAATAGGCCATACCACATGGCCTGGGCGTGTAGAAGGCTAACCCACCTAGGTTTGTGTGAGCACGCTATGATGCTTGCACAATGACAAAGTGTGCCTAACTACACATTTCTCAGAATATATCTCATTGTTACATGATGTATAGGTGGACTTTCACCCTGCTCCAAAGAACTAAGGATCTAAAGACATGACTTTGTATATCCAATGCAGATTCTTAGGCTGTAATTTAAATTTGTTTTTTCTTACAGTGTAGATGACAACCCCTGTCCAGTGGGCTCTAATAAGAACCCTGTGCACCCCAAAGCAACTGAGGCTGAGAGTTCTCGTCTCCAACCTGAGTAATCTCAATTTTGTCCAATTTTCTTGATGGCTTCTTTTCTAACCTTTAACATTTTTTTCTACATGAAACTCTTTCCAAATGTCATATTCAGGTTTTCCTAAAATTGTGCAGACTACTCAAAAAAACAGGTGTATGATTCTAACGTTAGCTTTTTTTGTAATTCACTGTGACCTTTTCTATGCAAATCAAAAACCCATCATATTTTTACTGTTTTTACCACTTTTCTCCATGTTAAAAATAGTGATATTCCTTTAAGCAGTGCTTTGGGAAAAGGTCAATTCTAGCTCATTGTATTTCTTTTTGCCAAAGCCAGTCTTTCTGATTTCTTCCAATAATCTTGGTTTCAGGCAATACTGCAAATAGGGCCACAAAATTATTCAATATTTTCCCACAGGCTTTAAGTTTCTGTAAGCCTTCAAATTTACAGATTCATTTCACACTATTATGATTTCTTCCTATATTTTAGGCTTCTTTGCTTCCTATTTTGCCTTTTACAAAATAAACCATCTCACATGCTTTGAATTTCTGTAGTATGTTGGATCCTAAGCATCCTTTTATGAATTCAACATTACATACTTAAAATAGTTTACATTCTTTCAAATGTACTTATACCACTGTAAATTAAAACAATTTCTAACTTGATTTATTGAAGGAAATAAATGTCATATTTTTGGTCTTTCTAACTCTCCTTTTATACACTACAGAATTTATAAAATTATCCCCCTATTTAAAAGAAAAAAGCCATTTTTAATGCACATAGCCTCACATTTTTTTATTATTATACTTTAAGTTCTGGGGTACGTGTGCAGAGCATTAAGGTTTGTTACATAGGTATACATGTGCTATAGTGGTTTGCTGCCTCCATCACCCCGACATCTACCTTAGGTATTTCTCAAATGCTATCCCTCCTCTAGTCCCCCACCCCTCTGCTATCCCTCCCCTAGTCCCCCAAACCCTGACAGGCCCCAGTGTGTGATGTTCCCCTCCCCGTGTCTATGTATTCTTATTGTTCAACACTCACTTGTGAGAACATGTGGTGTTTGGTTTTCTGTTCTTGTGTTAGTTTGCTAAGAATGATAGTTTCCAGCTTCATCTATGTCCCTGCAAAGGACATTAACTCATCCTTTTTTATGGCTACATAGTATTCCATTGTGTATATGTGCCACATTTTCTTTATCCAGTCTATCATTAATGGGCATTTAGGTTGGTTCCAAGTCTTTGCTATTGTGAACAGTGCTGCAATAAACATACGCGTGCATGTGTCTTTATAATAGAATGACTTATAATACTTTGGGTATATACCCAGTAATGGGATTGCTGGGTCAAATGGTATTTCTAGTCCTAGATCCTTGGGGAATTGCTACATTGTCTTCCACAACGGTTGAAATAATTTACACTCCCACCAACAGTGTAAAAGCATTCCTATTTCTCCACATCCTCTCCAGCATCTGTTGTCTCCTGATTTTTTAATGATCACCATTCTAACTGGCTTGAGATGGTATCTCAGTGTGGTTTTGATTTGCATTTCTCTAATGAGCAGTGATGATGAGTTTTTTTTCATGTTTGTTGGCTGCATAAATGTCTTCTTTTGAGAACTGTCTGTTCATATAGTTTGTCCACTTTTTCATGGGGTTGTTTTTTTCTTTAAATTTGTTTAAGTTCCTTGTAGATTCTGGATATTAGCCCTTTGTCAGATAGGTAGATTGCAAAAAATTTTTTTTCCATTCTGTTGGTTCCCAGTTCACTCTACTGATAGTTTCTTTTGCCGTGCAGAAGTTCTTTAGTTTACTTAGATCCCATTTGTCTATTTTGGCTTTTGTTGCCATTGCTTTTGGTGTTTTAGTCATAAAGTCCTTGCACATGACTATGTCCTGAATGGTACTGCCTAGGTTTTCTTCTAGAGTTTTTACAATTTTAGCTCTTACGTTTAAATCTTTAATTCATCTGGAGTTATTTTTGTATAAGGTGTAAGGAAAAGGTCCAGTTTTAGCTTTCTGCATATGGCTAGCCAGTTTTCCCAACACCATTTATTAAATAGGGGATCCTTTCCCCATTGCTTGTTTTTGTCAGGTTTGTCAAAGATCAGATGGTTGTAGATGTGTGGCATTATTTCTGAGGACTCTGTTCTGTTCCACTGGTCTATGTCTCTGTTTTGGTACCAGTACCATGCTGATTTGATTACTGTAGCCTTGTAGTATAGTTTGAAGTCAGGTAGTGTGATGCCTCCCCTTTGTCCTTTTGGCTTAGGATTGACTTGGCTATGTGGGCTCTCTTTTGGTTCCATATGAAGTTTAAGGTGTTTTTTTCCAGTTCTGTGAAGGTCATTGGTAGTTTGATGGGCATAGCACTGAATCTATAAATTACTTTGGGCAGTATGGCCATTTTCACAATAATGATTCTTCCTAACCAGGAGCATGGAATGCTTTTCCATCTGTTTGTGTCCTCTCTTATTTCCTTGAGCAGTGGTTTGTAGTTCTCCTTGAAGAGGCTCTTCACATCCCTTGTTA